AGACGCTGATGGAGCAGTTTCAGAGTGATCCCAAACTTACAGATATCCACCTGCTTCTATCTCCCTAAGTACTAGGGCTAAAGGCATAGCCACCACACCCATCCTTGTATTGATTTATTACCTTTTATCTTCCAAAATAACTTAGTAGTTAAGAGAAAAACAAAAACCAGAAACCACCTCTTCTTCCCAAGTGTCATCTCTAATACATGCCATTTATTGAGGATCAGGTGGTCAGTATGCACACGAATTATATTCATTTAATCAATTCTTATTTGGGGATGTGCCTTTCAGTCCTTGGCTCTGATGGTGATGATGGTAACGGTGGTGGTAAGGATTGTGAGAACAGTGGTGGTGAGGGTGGTGGTGAGGACGGTGGTGAGGACGGTGGTGGTAGTGATGATGATGGTGATGGTGGTAGTGAGGACAGTGGTGGTGAGGGTGGGTGGTGGTGGTGAGGAAGGCGATGGTGATGGTGGTGGTGAGGACGGTGGTGGTGATGGTGGTGGTGGTGAAGAGGATGGTGGTGGTGGTGAGGAAGGCGATGGTGGTGGTGGTGGTGAGGATGGTGGTGGTGGTGAGGAAGGCGATGGTGGTGGTGAGGAAGGCGATGGTGGTGGTGGTGGTGAGGAAGGTGGTGAGGACAGCAGTGGCGGCAGTGCTGTGATCATCAGCGCAGCCCCTGCTCCATATAGAGCAGCCCCACCCCTGTGCTTCAGGTCACTGGAGAGCCTGTCCAAAGGCAGCTCTGCCATAGTAGGAGGGAACCACAGACAGTACTTCGAGACAGATTCCTGGAGCAGGAATCACACAGGAAAAGCACAGCTGGGTGTCTCCAGTGTCTGCTACGAGCCCCACGCCAGCAGCTGGTGCGCCACTTTCTAAGCTGACCCTGTTGCCTGTGGATACTCACTCGGATGCTGTTCTTTCTTCTGAGTGGGATCACTGAATCGCAGGAAACTCACTCTCTCCACCCACGTCATCATGGTCACTGTGATGCTGGTGAATCCATCTTTTGCTACACTAGAATCGGGAATTCCTTCCTGGGCAAGGGTGAAGCTGAAGTGTGACCACACACACACACACACACACACACACATTTACATTTATTTTGTGTGTGTGTGTGTGTGTATACGTTTGTGGGGGTCAACAACACAGGAAAGTGGCTGGTTCTCTTCTTCCACCATATGGGTCCCTGGTATTGACCCTGGGTTGTCGGGCTTGGCAGGAAGCACCTTTACTCACTAGGACATCTTGCTGGGCCTGTATTTTTTTAATTGGCTTTTTAAAATTGTTTGATGTTTTTTTGTTTTCTGAAACAAGGTTTCTCTACATAATAGCCCTGGCTATCCTGAACTTGCTCTGTAGACCAGGCTGGCCTGGAACTCATAGAGATCTGCCTGCCTCTGCCTTCAGAGGGCTTGGATTAAAGGCTTAATCACCACCACCATCTGGCTTAACTGGCTTTTAAAATGTCATTTTATAACTTAGTTGTCTTTTGTCTTTTCCCTTTTCAGGACATTATTTCCCTGGCAAAGAAAATCATAACTCAGATCTTCAGAGACGAAAACTTTCCCTCCAGCTTCCTACTCTCAGATCTTTCAGCCTGAGGCACAGAGTCCCAGGACAGGGTAGAACCGGTCAGTCTCCCGCTGCGCAGACGACTGTCCACAGCAGGTGCAGCAGTCCACAGGACGGCAGTCAGGGTTGAGTGGCTGAGGGTGCTTCCCCACAGAGACCCACGGCCTCTTCTCAGCTAGCATTTCCCATCAGCAGGCTACCTCACTCTCTGGTGACCTCTCTGCTGGACATTAGGTTTATGATCCACGTCTGCGGGTCAGCAGCGCCCCTTTGCCTTCCCTTGTTTTCATATTGCTGCCCAGACAGATATGGATAAGGAATAGAGAGCAAACATAGGCTCAGGAATTTCCCAAGTTCAGCCGGGCAGTGGTGGTGCACGCCTTTAATCTTAACACTTAGGCAAAGGCAGGCAGATCTCTGAGTTCGAGGCCAACATGATCTACAAAGTGAGTTCCAGGACAGCCAGGGCTACACAGAGAAACCCTGCCTCAAAAAGCAAAACAATATATATGTCCCCCAAAAAGGCATTCCCAAGTTCAATCTGACTCCTCATTGGAATCAAAACTTGTATTTCCCACAGTGCCCAGCGTCCCAGCCAGATGGCTTCTGGCTTCAGAAATTTGCCATTTACATAGAAATAAATTTCCACAGTATGATCTAGCATTCCTGTGAGAAATTTGGGATTTGAAAAGCCTGCTGGGTGATCTTCTGCCAGGGAACAGACATAGCTGTGTGCTGAGCAGCCCTGTCAACTAGCTCAGAGCAGACAGGCTCCAGAGGGAGGAGCCAGGAGGGCGTGACTCTTGCCCAGCATGCACAAGGCTGCGGACCTGACCCCCAACACTGACAAGGCAGGGTGGTACACGCCTATAATGCCAGCATGTGGTAGCGGCAGAACCAGTAGGAGTGCAAAGCCATCTCTGATGACAAAGCAAGTATGAGGCCAGCCTAAACTACTTGTCTCAAAAACCTAACAAAATCTCCCTACACAACAACTATCAGATGTGGTGGAGTTTCCTTAATTGTTAAGGCTGAAGATCTCAAGGTTACATACATCGATGTAAAAACCAGTCTCTGGATGGGATGAACTTGGACTCTTCAGTCTTCTCTACGGCCTTCACTAGTCACCACACAATGACCCATGGCCCAGAAGCCAGGGGCTCAGCACAACACTGACCTGACTGTGGCACAGCAAAGCTGGTGGGATCTTCAGACTGTTGACTTCCTCCTCCACAGGCCACTCAGGAAAAAAGCCATGCCTCTTCCTCCCCCAGTGTGTGAGCAGATGCATGTGTAGAACGTACACCAGAGGCACATGTGCTTGTTCATACAATGTCTCCACATAGTAACTTGCTATGCAGACCAGGCTGGTTTTGAACTGTGTCACCTGCCTGTCTCTGTGCAGGGATTAAAAGTGTGCTACCACGCCTTGCTTTCTCACTGAACCAGGAATTTACTGGGTGAGCTTCAGCGATGGGACTATAGCCGCCTGTCGCCACACCAGGCTTGTGTGGGAAATCCAAATTCACTAAAGCGTCGTCTTCCCGGGTCTGGGGTCCTTTAAAAGCTACCTTTTTACACTGGGCTGTGGTGGCACAAGCCTTTAAACCCACACTAGGGAAGCAGAGGTAGATGCAGTGGCAGAGGGATCTCTGGGTTCAAAGCTAGCCTGAGTTCAAAAAACCCGTCTCAAAAAAAAAATGTTACTTTTTGCAGTTCCTCAATTTTCTGCTGAAATGGGTGTCTATTAGAACACTCTGCTGGAGCACAGGTTACATTCCAGAACTACTGGCAGTCTTGTTTCTGAGATAGGAAATACTTTGTTACAAAGCTGTTTGTCATCCCGGCCTAAGAGCCGATCTCCACACCAGCCCAGCGCTACTGTTGTGAGCAGCACACACTGGTTTTGCAGCAGAGGACAGGAATCCATTCCTGAAAACTTACTCTTGCTAACCTCAGAACACCAGAGCAGGGTGTACCTTGCCCGTTTCCAACCCAGCCACCCTCCTCTATACCCGTGTCTCGGCAGCACAGGAGAGCAGCTTACTGCATAAAAATGGCAGACTAGACCCAGTTAGACTAAAGGGGAAACTGAGGACGAGAAATCAGATGGGTTCCGTGTAGTCTTAGAAGCCCTCTCTGCCCCTTATAAGAAGCAGTCACGTCTGTCCACACAGAACTGAAGCAAACACTTCCTTGCCTAGAATTTCAGAACTTGTCAAAAAGTGGGTACGGTGACCACAAACCTTTAATCACATCACTTGGGAGGCAGAAACAGCCTGGTCTACATAACTGAGTTTCAGGACAGCCAGCAAGACCCTGATTCAATAAGCAACAACAAAACCCTAAAACAAGAAAACAATCAGTTTAACTATTTCCAGGCTTCTGTAGGAAACTATATGTAAAATATCCAGTTTAGGAAATCTCAGTGGCTGCAGAGCACGCCTCTCCACCAGGCCTTTGGCTTCCATCGCTTTGCTCTGCAGAGTGTGGTCACCAAGCTTCTCTGGTGTCACAGGTCTTATTTCAGAGCCCATGGAAGTCCAGGCACTAACTTCAGCATTCTCATCAAGCTGAAGACTTGCAAGGGCTCAAAAGTTAAAAACAACACAAAGTTGGGGGTGGGGTGCATCAGTACTCAACAAGTAACCAGAGCAGGACACACCCTTTTCTGGGAGAAACCCGGCATAGGCTTGCAACCCAACACATGGCTTAGAATGAGCACTGGCCTAGCATGAGCCAGGGCCCTTGGAGGGGGGCGACGACGACTCACCACTGCAAATGGACTCTACAGAGGGCCCAACAGGCTATCCCAATAAACTGCCTAGCCCTTCTCTGGTTAAGCTACCAGGCCTTAGAAGAGTGCTTCTTCTGGCCAGGGGTGTTGTCTCTAGGAACCTACCACAGGGAGTGAATTCAGAAACTACACTGGGCCCTACAAAAGTGGCTCCATCAGAAATGTGTGCGCTTGCCGGGCGGTGGTGGCGCACGCCTTTAATCCCAGCACTTGGGAGGCAGAGGCAGGCGGATCTCTGTGAGTTCGAGACCAGCCTGGTCTACAAGAGCTAGTTCCAGGACAGGCTCCAAAACCAGAGAAACCCTGTCTGGGGGGGGGGGGGGGGGGGAAGGAAATGTGTGCGCTAGCCATTTGATAAGCTTAGAGCAGCAGTAAAAACCCTTCACACAAAGATGGGAAAGAACAGCGCACCCACACACATACACGGGTGAGGCTGCCAGACTGGCATTACATATCTTCCTGTTGCTCATTTTTTGGTGGATAGGGTCTCACTGAACCTGGAGTTCCACAGACTCAGCTAAATAGGCTGGCCAGCAAGCCCCAGGGATCCTGTTCCCATCCCCTCAAATATGCAATACTTCATTATCTGCTTGCGCAACAAAGACAAAACTTCGGTAGACAAGCAGGTTATTAAATACTCTTTATTGATCTGCATTTGTGAGGACAAACAATGGACTCAGTAGAAAGAATATAAAACATATCAGGGCTTTATTCTAACCAAGAGCCAACAGCAGTCCTCCTGTGAGTGAGACCTGGCCTCTGCTGTGTCCACTGTGCTCAGCCAAGCTCAGGGAGGCTGTGGATGGGCACACAGCTCCTGCTGCTGCCTTGCCTCCTCCAGCTCCTCCTGGGTCCTCTGGCTCCTCAAGCGATAAAAGGAAAGCCCTTATTTTGTGGGACTCATTTCCAAAATGAAGTTCCAGGTTCTCCCATTAAAATTTCCTGTGGTATCAATGATTAAAACAGGCCTGCTGTTGGCTTGTGTTTCTTGGTTTTGTCACCTTAATGTCACTAGGAGTCCTGTAATCCTGCAACTGGGGTTTGCCAAGAAGCAGTTTCAGGTAGGTCTGCTATTGCTTTAGATGTCAATACAGTTGACAACCCAGAGTGGATTAGAACGGACGTAGGGTTTCCCTGCCGTTATGTGACGTCATCTGCTCCCTTTATTCTTGATAGGTGCATAGATAGCCTGACTTAAAACTTTCTACAGAACACGCCTGGTTCCAGGAGTAACCAATCACGAGCCAATGAATGGCTGGCCAGTTCCTCAGGTGAAGTCGGTGAGTTACAAGAGCCTCTAAGTGTAAAGCCAATCACAAGGCGACTCTCTCCCGTCTGTGGCCGGATTCACTCAGCTTGCTAGGAGAGACTTGGCTTGTACTCCTGTGGCTTTCTGCATGTTAGAAAGTGAGCTGTTTCCGAGAGTGCTATCACCAAGACCCACTTGGTCCTTGCTAAACTAGCAAGCAGCCTTTCTGTGACCCTGATCCTGCCCCCTTCTGATGCTCACTTCACCCGAGGAACACATGTTTAGGTAATCAAGTTTATGAGGCGGAACCTAAAAACAATTCACAAAACCTTTTTCCATTAAGTAAAAGCCTCAAGTACATTTCAATCATCTCAAAATTGTAGTTAGAAACTGACATTATACAAGGAAATAGCAGCATAGGATGGCTGATGTCAAAACCAACATGGGAAAAAGAAAAGAGCCACCGTTTCCCCTCGGTTCTTCTCCCAGGGTTTCATTAAAGACACCGAGCCTCTGAGAACTGAGAACAGCAAAGCCACCTGGAGAAAATGCATCAAGGCCAGGATTCCGGAGCTGCCCGGGAAGGACTTGGAATGCAAGACACACCCCAGACAGGACAGCTCTGAAGCCCACATCTCCAGTCTGGATCACCCCCCATGTTCTAGTTACAAAATAGTAAAGCCAGTGGGCGTTCAAAGCAGGAAGTGCGGAGCAGAGGCTGCCTTAGGGCAGCAGAAGACACACAGAAAGGACTATCTGCATAAGACCTGAGGCTCTTGGGGAACTTTCACTGGTTCTGTTCTGTCTGCCATTAAAAATCAGAAGCAAAATTCCAGGAACGTAGTTCTGACAGGATGAGAGAGATCTGACAGTGCTTTCAGCGGCGATAAACTGGTACCCAAACTTGTTGCACATCGAAAAATGTAGCATAAAAGTCGCAGGAAAAAAAAATGTGAACATAGAAAACGCAGAAAGAATCCAGGAAGATGACGCAGCCTGGATACAGCACGTTTAATGTCTCTGCTGCTCACAGAACTCACACCCTCCCCTCCTCAACCTGGTGCTGGCAGCAGGATATGCATCAGAAAGTTGACTCTCAGAGTCAGCCAAAAAGGATGGACTCACATCTCCACAGCTCTGCTGGAAAGGGCTGACACCTAACTAGAAGGGCAGGGCAGAGGGTGAGGCTGTTCATACTTTCAGTCTTTGGCAGAGCCCAACTAAGGCCAAATTCACCTAGAATGCCCAGTGGCTGTGGGATTTCCACAGGGTCAAGGAAGCAAACCCAAATGAACATGTTGGATTAAAAAAAAATTGTTTTGTTTTTAAGAAACCCTTGAAGAAAGAGCTTCACCCTGAAAAGGGAAGAGGGAGCATGTCAGAGGGGAGGGCCGGAGGGTCAGCCTGAGGAGCTCTGCTGCAGTGCACGAGGGCTTAGGAATTCAGCCAAGGGTGCCGGAGGCACTCAGCGGCGGTGGCTCTCTTCTCAGGAATAAGCTCCAACATGGGGAGCAGGAAATCTGTGAAGCCGGCGGCCTCTTCCTGGGGCCACTCATACTTCTCCACCAAAACCTCCAGAAGGCCCCAAGGCTTCAGCTTGGTGATGTGTTTCAGGTCACCTGTGGGAAGACGGTACAAGGCTCACAGTCTAATCTCATGGTAAGCTCAAGCGTCATGGCATAAACAACTGACTTAGTCTTTCTACAGCACAACAGTCTAGCAAATGTTGCTTCTACAGGAGGCAATGATTTCCAAACATAAAGCTGATAGCACGACAGACAGACAAAATGACAACAAATCTGGAGACTGTCCTCAGGGGCACCGCTCTGAAGGCTCAGGTGATCGGCTCCTTGGAACTGACCTCTTTTCCTTCAACAGGTGGTGCTCAGATCCCATCCAATCCTTGGAAGCTGCCGAGCAGTTTTTGGAGGTACCTGTCTTGTCCTAACCTTCAGTCTGTGGGCTTCAGCCTCTCAGGCAGCTGAGAATTATAGGGCTAAGCCCCTGCCTTAAGTGAGGAACTTCATAGGTGGTCACTCAACAGCTTCCTTGGGTAAATGCTACTTAAAACCCTTCTCATATAATGAGATTGGGGATCTTTTTCAAAGGACGCATCCTGCTCAGGTCCCTCAGCACTTGTTGGCCGCTGGGGAAATGGCACGTGGCCCCAGAGAGACAGCAGACCGGATCCCCAGACCCTTCCAGGTTCATTTTCCCACTTCAGTTCCATCTTTGATGTATAAAGAAACAGACTCGAGGCTCAGGCCTACAACCCTAGAACGGAGGAGGCTGGCAGGAAGACTGCCTGCGGCTGAGGTGAGGTGAGCACTGCCCTAGGCTAGAGAACTACACTGTCTAGAAAGTGGAGCCGTTCCGACTAAGGCAGGTAGTATCCCCTTAGTCTTTTGTTTTACTGGGGATGGGTCCTTACGCTGAGGCCTAGACTGGAGCGGAACAACTCCTGCCTCAGTCTCCTGGGGGCTGGGATTAGAGATGCGCACACCAAGCTCAAGCTCCTAACAGCACAATCATGAAACTCAAGTGTTGTTTGTCTCTATGGAGAATGTACTCAGACACTCCCAGGGCTGGGACAGTGTCCTTGCCTGTAGGAGTCTTAAAATTACTACAAGTACATGCTCTTAAGCACTGGGCCATCTCTCCAGCCCCCTAGTGTGTTGTTTTTAAGCAGGGCTGGAGGATGCACTATGAACCCTACCTGGAATACATAGGAAGATACCACCCAAACCCAACAGTGCCAATGTGCTGAGCTCCTGCCCATACCATCCAGTGCTTGCTAAGCCACACTGGGTATACCCAAGGCACACACTCACCTTTCTGCAGAACAAGTGTCTCATTTTAGACACTTTTACCCCTTATTGACTGGGAACAAACACTTTGTTTTACCTTTTTTGGTGAAAAATTCCTTGGAATATTTTCCCGCCACAATGAGCTTGCGAGGCACCTTCCCCAGAAGTTCTATGATCAGGGCGATGTGATCTGTATGGGCAAAAAACAGAGCAGGGATGAAACACATGGCTCTGGACACAGCACACACATCACTGTTAGGGCACTGCACACTTGCTTCCTGTCCCAAAGAAGAAATGGACTCTATGTAATGCAGGGTCCACTCCAATGTCAAACACCTCAGCACTGCTCAGCCTAGACTCTGGTTCTCACCAGAGTCAACCTTGGTAGGAGAGGCTCTGCGCCTTCAAGTTGTGTCCCTGAGCTTGTCACCCTGAGACTGAGAAGTCCTGAGACTATTTCCAACTGTGGCCAAAGGGCCTTGGAATCCAGCCTATCAGCTCCAGCCCGCGCCAGGTGGGCCAAGATAGACCAAGACCAACAGGATCAAGGTGAAGCGGTGAACAAGGCTTTCTGTGGAGAGCTTTCCCAAGGGTGAGCAGGTTAAAATGACAACGGATAAAACCCAGGTGTGCAGGGGAGACTCAGAGGACCAAATGACCTTGGGCCCTGCTGGCCTCACCGCAGACCTCCTCGGCTGGAGACTGACACACACACACAGCTTTACTTTAGGTAACAAACCTAGCCCAGTGGGTTCTTCAAGCAGAGGAGAGAGCATGCCAGCATCCCAGACACCATAGCTAAATAATGACACACACATTTGCCAAATGGCAGCACATGAACAGACGCCGAGGGCTGACCTGATTTGAATTCTGACTGGGGATGGAATACCAAGGGCAGGTGCTCCCCCTGGCTCGGGCCCTTTCACATGTTTTAGTTTTCAGTTTGGTGGTGCAAGGCCCTACTCCATGCAGCTCTAGCCAGCATGTATATTCTGTAGCACACGCTCTCTACAGAAGAGATGTGATGGGGCATCTAAAAGCTCCATAAACCTACAGCTCTTAACTTCTAAGACAGTGGTTCTCAACCTTCCTAACGCAGTTCCTCATGTTGTGGTGACCTCAACAATAAAGTTATTATAATCACCATTATCTTTATTTATACTTGTACCTATTTCTGTTTGTTTTTTGAGGCGGTTTCTCTGTGTAGCTCTGGCAATTCTGGAACTCACTCTGTAGACCAAGCTGGCCTTGATATCACAAGCAATCTACCTGTCTGCTTCCTGAGCGCTGGGATAAAAGGCGGGCACCGCCACAACCATCCCCCCACCAACCTGGGCATATTATTTCCATTGTTACTTCGTAACTAATCTTGCTACTTTTATGACCCATAAGGTCAATATCTGATATGCAGGATATCTGCTGTGACCCCAGTTGAAAGGGTCATTTGACCCCCGAAGGGGTTGAAACCCACAGGTTGAAAACTGTTCTAAGAGAACAAAAGCAAGCAAAGAACAGGAAAGTCAGCATGGACACCGTGTGGTGTGACGGGTACCCAGGAAACACACCCTCCCTGCACTGGGCAAACAGACTCGTAACCGTTCAACTGCTAGCACATCGCAGGCCATTTCCCACAGTCCTTATGAATCTCAGCAAGCTGCGCCGCCTATTAATATCCGAAGGGAACCATGCCACAGGGCATTCCCGGTCCCACAGAACACAAAGCCACACGCAAAGCGTGACAGTGGAAGGCACATTCTTCACCCAGGTGCCATCTGCCAGTGCCTTACCCTGCAAACTCACTGGAGAAACCAAGAGGCCAGGCATTTCCGTCATCATCTTTTTCAATCCCCTAGGAATCTGGATAGTGGCAAAGTCAGATGCACCTAGCTGTCTTTTCCATGCCCTCAGGACAGAGCAACTGACTGTATGGGCTTTTCCTATGGGCCACAAAATTTAAATCCACTATATTTTAATTTAAAATGAGATTCTATACAACTTATAAGGAAATAAATAAAACTTTAATTTCTAGAAAAGGGAAATGCTAAATATTATATATGGAGGAGAGTGTCTGCCTCCAAGTGCCACAGTGCTGCAGATTAGATTAAAATTACTGACTTCCAAATCAACATGGAGGCATAAATGAGTGAGTCAGACTTGAGCTGTGGGGAAAGCCACTGTTTTTTCTGTGTATTCCTGGCTGTCAGGACACTAGCTCTGTAGAGCAGGCTGGTCTTGAACTCAAGAGATCCACCTGCTCCTGCCTCCCAAGTGCTCGAATTAAAGGCACGCCCAGCTAAAGTCATTGATCTTCAAAGGATGACAAGCAGATGTTAAAACTAAGCAACCCACCCACCCCAAACTGGCAAGTAAGTTGTAAGCCAACCAATTGTGGATGTCAGAGCTCTTTAGTATTACTTTCTATAAAAAAGGATGATCTTTAGCTGGGCATGGTGGTGCACGCCTTTAATCCCAGCACCCGGGTGGCAGAGGCAGGAGGATCTCTATGAATTCAAGGATAGCTTGGTCTATAGAGCGGGTTCCAAGACAGTAAGGGTTGCACAGAAAAAAACTGTGTTGAAAAAAAGAAACAAACAAGGTGATCTCATACAGCCCATGCTGGCCTCACACTTGCTGTACATGAGGATGATCTTCAAGTTTCAAGCCTTCTGCCATCTCTCCAGTGCTAGGCTTATAGCCACCTCCCTTAGTTTGAGCAGTGCTGGAGACTGGGCTCCGGGCTCTTGCATACCAACCATGCACTTCAGCTACTGGGCTGTCAGTCTTTGCTATCATTTCTTGTCTTCCTGCATGTTTCCTTAGTGCTGGGATGACATCACTACCCCGTCAGCTCATTTCTCCTTGTTTCAGTGTCTGGCACACTCCTCCCACAGTATCGAAGACCTCTGTGCCAGGAAATGACCAGTAGAAAGAGTAACTACACACAAACAGCGGGGAAAGGGAACTCACCTTCATCTCGTGTGTAATCCTCCCCTGAATGAGGCTCAAACAAATAGTCACCTGTGGCTAGTTCAAAGGCCTAAGAAAGAGACAGCACACGACAGTATCAAAGAAACAGAATGCCTTTGCAAAGCCTTCTGCTATGTTGTCAAAACTAGATGACCATTTGAAAAACGTCTAAAATAATTAGAATACAGAAAAAGGAAAACACAGAACACAACACCAGAATAATTGTAGCTATACAATATATTATATATATATATATAATAATAGTTTGCATTTGAACAGACAGAAGAGGTTCTGAATGCTCCTTAAAACAATGTTTAAGCAGGGCAGTGGTGATGCACTTGGAGCACCTGGGAGGCAGAGGCAGGTGGATCTCTGAGTTTGAGGCTAGTCTGGTCTACAAAGTGAGTTCAAGCACAGCCAGGGCTACACAGAGACCATGTCTTAAGAGAGAAAAAAACAAAACCAATGTCTAAATTGCATTTTACTCATTAATTCGGTGTGTGTGTGTGGGGGGTATCCTTAGGATTTGGTGCTCTTTCCCAGCATGCATGTCTCCGAGTTTGAGCTCAGGTGGTCAGCATGAATACATGTGCCTTCACCAACTGAGCAGCCCGTGGGTCTAAAGTTCTCAATATTCTAGTCACCAAGAAACCATCTGAAATGACAGATACCCCAATGCTTCAGATCTCACCATGACATTCTGTGCCCCAGAGATATGACCCTTTAATATGACACTGTCCTCCAGGCCAAGTTTCCCTCTGGCCAGCAAAGGGTACAAGTAGGTGTTAGGGAGTCCGTGTACAAATCAGGAGAAGAGCAGCTCCCTCCTGTGTTAGAATGTGAAACCATCTAGAAATGGAATCTACACTCCAGATTACACTGAACACTGGGATTTTCCTAATTTCATGTCTAAATTAACAAAATGTGTGTGTGTGTGTGTGTGTGTGTATTTTTTAAGACAATCTTGACTATGTAGCCCAGGATGGTCCTGGATTCTTGCCAATCCTTCTGCCTCACAAGACACAGCGAATCCTCCCCTCTAAGTCTCCATTCTCTTTATTTACTGCTGAGGACTGATGTGCCCACACTCTGATCCCGTGTGACAAAATGAAATCACAATTAAGCTGTGCACACTGACATCAGGCACCTTCCCTGGTGGTGACACTCCAACAGGAGAGTGGCCTCCCAGACTCTTTCTAAGTCTGGCCTTGATCTGTACTTTAGTAACAAAATACTAAGTTAGTACTCCTGACTCCTTAGGGGCTATGGTGACCTCCAAATTCATCTTGTAGCCACCAAGTCAGAAGCCTTGTAAAGCAAAGGCACCCGTGGTAGTCAGGGTCTTTCTGAGCGTGGAGAGCTTTGGCTCAAGTTCCAAATGCGTGCCCTCAATAACCAACTGCGGTACAGGAGCCCAGTCAGGAAACAGCACACCAGCGAAAGCAATGATTCACAGACCTGTGGGTGACTAAGTGACACAGATGTCTGAGGAGCTGCTGAATGCAGAGAACCCAAGCCTTTCCAGGGGTGTCCCTAGCGTGCAAACAAGCTAAGAGCTCAAGGACGCTAGTCATCCACCAGTACAAAAGAACACACGGACACACTGGTGACCACTGCGTGTTCCTCTGCAGTTCCTACTGTACTGCCGACAGCACACAGGGAGGGCAGCAGGGCTTACCATGCAGGCAGTGCTCCAGATATCAGCAGGCGTGTTGTAGCCAGATCCGATCAGAACTTCCAAAGACCGATACTGCCTTGTCTGGATATCTTCAGTGAAATGCTTGTGCTGAGTAATTCAAAGAGCGCAGAACTTTAACAGCCATACATCTGACAAAGGAACAACTCAGGACTGCTTAATAATGGAGACTGTTCTCGGAAAGCATCATCTTCATGCTGCTAGCCCTGAAACAGCTCTGCCTCACTGCTACTCCAAATAACTTTAAACAACTAATGAATCTCTCTCTCCCTCTCCCCCTCCCTCCCCCCCTCTCTCTCCCTGTACGAAAATTCAGAGATCTGCCTGCCTCTGAGTGCTGGGATTAAAAGCATGTGCCATATTAACCCAGCTAAAGATGACCCTTAGTTTAGTTTAGTCATACAGATTTAGAAATAACAATAGCTTTATCAAGAAATCAAAAATTAGAACCAGTGTGGTGATGTACACCTTTAATCCTAGCTCTTGGGAGGCAAAGGCTGGCAGATCTTTGTGAGTTTAAAGCTAGCCTGGTATATGTGGTGAGTTCCAGAACAGCCAGGACTACGAGACTGTTTCAAAAAGCAAAACAAAGAAATCCAAACCAAGCAAGCAAACAAATAATAAAAGTACACAGAAAAGGGGTCAGCAAGAAGGCTCGGCAGGTGGGGTAGCCTGCCAGCAAGCATGAAGCTCTAAGATGGACCTCTCAGGCCCACCAGGGAGGGGGGGAAGGGAAGGAAGGAGAGAGGAAGAGTCTCTAGCAAATTGTTCTGACTTCCACAGCCAGAGCTATACAGAGAAACTTTGTCTCAAAAGAAGGAAACAAAACAAAGTCCTAAACAAGCCAAGTAGTCCCAGCATTTGGGGAGCAGAAGCAGGCAGATCTCTAGGTGTCTGAGGACAGCTTGGTCCACAGAGCAAGTTCCAGAACAGCCAAGACTACACAGAGAAACCTTGTCTCAAACCCTCCCCCCAAAAAAACTTGTTTAACAAGATATAAAAGATACTATATAGCACATAACCACAACTACAACCAATAAAAAACCTTGCTTAACTAGATATAAAAGATACCATATAACAAATAAAAATCCATAATTACATATATTCTGAAGGTAAGCCTTACAGCACTGTTCATCAGAAGCCTTTGAAACAACATAAAGCAGCACACAGCTACTGATGCAGCAGCCCCACATGTGAGACCCGACCTCGGGGCAGCTGCTCAGGACACTGCACAGACACTGTTCTAAGAGCTCTAGGTACAGTGACTAGGGCACTCACAGCACTACAGTCACACTACAAAGCCACTGAATCTCACACCAATCACTGGTGAACAAAATATGAAATGAATTTAAACACATCACTGAAAGTGGCCAGGCAGTGGTGGCGCACGCCTTTAATCCCAGCACTTGGGAGGCAGAAGCAGGTGAATCTCTGTGAGTTCGAGACCAGCCTGGTCTACAAGAGCTAGTTCCAGGACAGACTCCAAAGCTACAGAGAAACCCTGTCTCGAAAAACCAAAAAAAAAAAAAAAAGAAAGAAAAGGGGGGGGGGGGAACGCTCACTTTGAGAATGGAGCTGTGGTTGGGGAGGGGAAGGAACATGTCGAAGTGAGTAAGGAAGGGTAAGGTCGAACAAGTGGATGTAAGTGGACGTGACTGCAGCTGAGTAACGGGGGACTTAGGGGACTTGACAGTCATTTGTTTCAAATATCATCTTCCATTCCATATGTTCATAAATATATTGAACTTTTCCAAAATAAAGGAAGAATGAAATACTTAGTAAAATCCAGTCCATAAACACAGATGTCTTAGTGTAACTAAATCAAGTGTCCTCACCCAATCATTTTAAATACAGCAATAAAACAGGTGTGACTTACCACCCAGCAGGCATTCCCAAGATCTGCGATCTTCACTTTGAGTTTTTCTGCATTTTTTGGCTCAAGGGGATTAATAAGAAAATTTCCAGCAGTGAATTTTCCTATAGACAACAGCCATTATCAGTAAAAGGGTTTAATGAACACAAGATAGCCTAAGGGAAACAAAGGTCTACAAGTTACCACTTAGAGGCCCCTCCTCCAGCCTCTAATGAAACTTCCTAAGACTTGCTAAGTTTCTAGAGCACAAGGCCCCTGTAAAGCTATGACTGCAATGCTCTCTATCCATCTACTAGCCACAGATTTACACACTACAAGTAACTTGGACAACTGCTTCCTGGAGATGGAGCTCAGGGGTAGTTTTTGCTCAGAGTACACAAAGTCTGGTCCACTCCACCCCCACCACTGTAACAAACACCCCCTTCCCCAAGAAAAATCCAAACTAGATGCCTGCTGTGAAAATGAAGTTTGCCTACAAATTCAAGAGCGCACTGTGCAGGGCAGGGCAGTGGGGTGTCTGTGTGGTACCTTTGTTGTCCAGTGGTCCATTATGCTCCTGTTCCTGCTCATCTCCAGAAGGTATCTCTGCCCGAATGCTCTCTTGAAGTTGGCTGATGTCCTGTTCAATGAGTGACTGGTCTACAGAGGACTGGCACACCATGGTCTCTGACACCTCAGACGTCACGGCTGTGCAAGAGTCTGTTTCTTGAGATGCACTGCTATCTCCATTTGAGGAGTTTAGGAAACTAGGTTCCTGCTTCAAAGTGTGGGCATCACAGTCATTAGCATTATGGAGATCTTCATTAAGCCTCAATGTTTCATTATTACTGTTTTCAGTGTAATTAACGATTCCAATTACTCCATTGCAATTAATTTCTGCTGTACCACCCTCTACACCACGTTCCGTGAGTGTCTGATCCTGGCCAATGGAACTTGACTCTTCTAAGGAACAAACAGAAAAGGACGCATGTGTGTATGTGCCAGTGAACAACAGAACAATTCTCACAAGGCTAAACTAGCTTCTAGAGCTCTTACTAAGTGCCATAAACATAAGATTAACAGCCCTCTGACACCTACTGATGGGAGGACAAAGATCTCATCCTCACCCAATGGCTACAAAGTCTCTCTCTACCTCTGGAGAAGAGAGCAACAAATTACGCTTTCCTGCCATCTGCCTGGCATTATCATAGATCTCAGCTCTTACAGGACACCCCCAGAGATGAGCTGCAGACACGAAACCACACATTACAGAACAGTGATAAACCGATGCTCAGGTATGCCATCAAGTCATTGTTCAACGCTCTATTTATACCAAGTTTCTCTTGGGTCATTTTATTAGGTGGGTTCTCTGTCAAGGGTCTTTCAACAGGACTCTCTGATGCTTCTTGCTTGTTAGGTCTTTTTTGCCCAGGGCCCGACTCTTTCTCCATTTCCTCAATTTCCTGCATTCGTTTCTCTAGTAATTCTGCCTGGCGCTTCTGCTTCTTCTTCAATTTCTTCTTCTTATTCTTTGACATTTTGTCAGCCTGGCGGAGATCACAAACAGATAAAGTCTTCAGGTGGCTAATCCATTACCCCTGGTTGGAGACAACTGTTAACTTTAATTATTTCCTAATTAAATTCCACTCTTTCCCTAGCATTCCATTAACGTAAATGCGCAGAACTTATGAAATTGAACAAATGGCACTAGCAAGTTTCCATCTTCTGTGCAGTCTGGGGACTGGGTCTCTCAGGCACCTCTATTCACAGAACCCTCACCAGAACCAACTCGCTGACGGCGCAATGAGAGTACTGGAGAAAAACATTGAGGGCAGGAATGGCCCTTTCCCCTGGTTTCCACTCTAAGTAAACTATGCCCATCCATATCATGACCATGCCCAGCACCCAGGAGTTAAACACAGAAGCACTGTATGCTTATACTTACTGGCTTAGGCTGCGGAGCAGTACTGACTGAAAAGAAAAGAGAAAAAGCAGGTAAGAGCCCTGGCACAGACAGGCAAAATGCAGACTGGGAAAAGACACTGCCAGGTGGAGGCTCATCTCTCCCATAGCCTACTTTCTCTATGTGATGTTGAGCAAGCTGCATTTTTTAAAGGAAAACAAACATGCATATAAAGAGGCCAAATTTTGTCTACGAAGTTTGTTTTTGTTTTTTTTTTTTTTGGGGGGGGGGGTGTTTCGAGACAGGGTTTCTCTGTAGCTTTTGGAGCCTGTCCAGAAACTAGCTCTTATAAACCAGGCTGGCCTCGAACTCACAGAGATTCACCTGCCTCTGACTCCCAAGGGCTAGAATTAAAGGCAAGTGCCATGATTACCTGACTAAAGAAGTGTCTTAAAGACAGGGCCTCATCATGCAGACCTGGCTGACCTGAACCTTTCCATGTGCCTGTCTGCTGAAACTAAAGGTGCCCACCATCGTGTCCAGTGGAGCAACCTTTAAAGACTGTAAACTGCTTCTCCACCAGTACCCATCTACCCAGAGTCGGCTTCCTATTTAATTCCACAAGTGGTGCTGCTCAGAACTGCTCCCCATGCACAAGCACCCAGGATTCCCGTCTCTTCAAGGCTCCCTTCTGTACTTGTCAGTTCTAGTTAAAAAGAAAAAAGTATAGCCATTGTGTTAACACACATGGTGGGGGTGAGGTGCTTCGTGCCACAATGTGGAAAAGAACTCTATGGAGTCAGTTCTCAATCTCACCCTTCTATGGGATCCTGTCAACAGGCTTGCACTGCAGACCCCTTTACCTGCTGGGTCACTAAGGTTAATCTAGGTGACATGGAGAGCTATATAACCACCATTAGGTACAGCCAATAATAGACCAGCTTAGGCATGGTGTCCATCTTCCTTTCCTGGCTGTGGTTTAGGTATGACATAAAATCCATTCTTTCCATCTTTTAACACTGAACCCCACTCATCAGCTTTCATCTCATCCCTTCTTCCTTGCCAAGTGATGTTAACACAAGTGTCAAGAAACACCGTACAACACAATTACACTACTAAAACGGGAACCTGCCCCTCATGTGGAAAAGCTGAAATCACCTCCCACTGAGCACAGTGCTGTGAGGAGTTACCAACCGCTTCAATGGGAAATTTAAAACCCACAATTCCTGTTTAAGGGAAAATGAAACCAAGTGACTCGGTCCTGGTCTCATAAATGAAGACAAACCAGCAGTTCTCCTGGCCATGGGGTTGACTGAGCACGCGTTAGCACTGCATGCTACCCAAGGAGCAGCCAGGTCACACACAACCGCTACAATCCAGGCACGGAGGCGCGTAAAGCTGGATCAGGAATTCAAAATTAGCTTGGGCTATTGTATAACAAGACTCCTAAATTAAAATTAGGGTCAGAAAGATGGTTTGGCAGGTAACGATGCTGCTGATCCTAACAACCTGGTTCTGATCCCCAGGCCCACATGGTGAAGAGAATCGACCCCTTCAAGTTGTTCTAACGTTCACACACAAAAAAGCTGCCCCTACAAAGTAAAGAAGGTCAATAAAAATATAAAGTCTACCAAATAAAACCACTTTAAAACTATAATGTGAGACAGCTATTTTACTATAAAGCATATTTTTATCTAAAAACAACCCCCCACTTTCTTCCCATCTGGAAGAAATACTGAAGTCTTTTGAATGCTGCTATATTTCTAAAATATTTATCGCTAAGTGAGCAGTGTTCATTCCACTGTCTTGCGACCAAATACAAACAGAAATTCCTCCTGCAGTTTTTGATTGAGCCAAGCTCCCCACACACCTGCAGACCCAGAAGGAGGTGGGGCTCCAGATCGTTGCCATTCTGTAGCTTCAGCAGCCAGTCTCCGAATGTACTGGTCGTTCACTGACAACAAGATGTTTTCTGGTTTGATATCAGTGTGGATGATCCGGCACTTGGTGTGTAAGTAATCCAGACCCTGTAGCACCTGAATGGGAATAAAACAAAAGCCTCACAAATAAATAAATAAAACTAAAAACAAACAAACAAACAAACAAAAAAAACCACACAAGTTTTCCTGGGGGAGTGGGAAAAAATCACAACCCACTTAAAACAGAGATGAAGAAATGGCTCAGCAGCTCTTCCAGAGGACCCAGGTCTGATTCCTAACACCCAAAGGGCAGATCACAACCACCCCTAAAACTCAGTTTCAGGGAATGCAGTGCCCTCTTCTGGCCTCCGCTTACACCAGGCATACACGATACACAGACATATAGGCAAAACACTCACACACATTTAAATAAAATAAAATAAAAAAAGCAGAAGCACAATGCCCAGTTTTTGCATCTGGCATTAATCAGGGACAAACTTGGGTGTGTGCACGCACGCGGCAGACACTTCGAGGGAGTCATTTCCTAGCCTCAATCCTTGTTTCTACAATAAGAAATTTTGTTAGAAACAGGAAACACCTGATATTTTTATATAAAGATACAATAAGCCAGGTGTGGTGGTTTATGATTTAAACCCAGCACCTAGGAGACAGGCAGGCAGAGTTCTGGGGCAGCAGGGTCCACACAGTGAGATCCCCTAGAGAGACAGAGAGGGGAACGGAGGAATCCCACACAGCAAGGACCAACAAACATACTTGTTGAATAATCTTTTTGACACAAGGCAGCGGAAGCCCCTGGTAGTTGGACTTGATGATCCACTTGAGTAGATGGTGTCCCAAAACTTCAAACACCATGCAGATGTCTGGGGCTCATTAAGGAAGAAAAGGTAGGCGAGACGTGGATTCAATTCCTAAGTCCTGAACTTTCAGTCACAGAACTACCTTGAAAACACAAAGCAGCCGACAATGACGCGACACCACCAACGAACAACCGCGAGGAAGGACGTCTGGGACAAGTGCACACATTAACACACTTGGGCGGAAGCAAAGGAGAATCTGATGTGAAACAGACAAAACAGCAGGCTCAGGGTCGGCCTCAGGCCTCTTCTGGAATGACAGGCTACACTCCCACCCTCACAGGCTCACAAGTCAAGAACACGCTCTTCTTTAGCACAGAACTTAACTGAAAAGAAGGAAATGCCAACGTGTTCTCCTGTGTGTCTACTAGTGTGGAGCATACCTAGTGTTCTGTGAGAAGACAAATGCCCCAGCACTGGGCTACCCCTCTCCACCAACATTTCTAAAAACAGGACTCTGACTATGTTCAGCCCGATACCTCTGTACAGCTCTCCACGCCGGTATAGCACACGCAGCAAGCACGCTGCACAAGCCCTGAGGCAGTGGAGACTTGGCAGCCATGCTGATACTGCCAACCCCATCTTCATTACAGCCTGGACAACAAAAGGAAGCCTAGGTTCCCAAGAAACGGCCAAATCCCAGGCTCCTTACAGGGTGGCTGTGCAACAGTGGAGGAACAAGAAGCCCTTAGTGTTCGACTAGCACCTGCTACTATGCAGTCCAGGCTGCCCTGATCTGGGGCGTGGAAGAAGCACCACTCAGAGGTGCCACCAAAGCTTCACGATGAGTTCAATCCTCAGTTCCAGAAAGAACTGACTCAGAGTTCTCTTCTGACCTCCAGTTTGTCATGATATTGACATGTTTGCAAGTGCAATAATGAAACTTACAGGCAACACACCCGTACACATAGTTTAAAAGATAATAAAATTGCAAAGAAAGAAAAAAACAAATCAAGTTCTTAAAGGATACGTGTTCCATTAACACCTGATATTTTAAAGTCATCTAGTAGTTGAACAACCATTTCTCCATTTGGATCGTTCGGGTCTGAATTGCGAACCTGGATTGGAAAGAAGCCGTATTAGCACAAATGAAGCAATACAGTGGTCAGTCAACAGGGAGGAGAAGCCTCACTACACACTGCTGTTACCCCAGTTCACCATAAAAAGGACAAGAAAGGCTTCCGGTAAGATAAACGTGTGTTTCCAGGTATAAACCCAATCAAAGACACTATATTTGTTCTGGTTCGGTCAGGGGTTATTGAGCTGTGGGTCGTGGCCCCTTTGTCAAACTTGTATCTCTAACAGTATCTGCGTTATGATTCTTAATAGTAGCACAATTACAGCTGTGAAGTAGCGACAGAAACAACTGTATGTATGGGGTTACCACAGCATGAGGAACTGTATTAAAGGGTGGCAGTGTCAGCAGGCTGAGACCACTGCTCTAGGCAGTGTCTCTTTTGACAGTCTTACTATGCATCCTCAGCTGGCTGTGAACATCAGCATGTCTCTGCCTCCCAAAAACGCTGGGTCTAAAGGCACGCGCCACATCAGGCAGCCATGTCTTTACGATATACAGTAGGCATTACAAACTTACGTAACTTTTCCTTTGACCAGGGGTATGAAAGCCACTCATGGCAGGGCTGTGTATAAAGTTCTGCTTACTGGAAACGATGGGGGTAAGTGCTTGTAAGACGAAACTAACCATGGAATCTATCAATCCCTACAACACGCAGGGAACAAACCCTTCATCTTCCTGTGGCTCCAAGGAGCACTGAGTTTGCAGTAGCCCTTGTCTATGTGATGCTGAGACCGGGCACAGACTCCATGCCACACAGTGACCTCACACTTACTGATTTCAGCAGTCGGATTTCATCTAGCGCTGTTTCTGTGTAATGTTCGGCACTTTTAACTACTTTCATTGCCACAAACTTCTTTCCCCTAAAAAAAAAAAAAAAAACAAAAAGAACAATGAAAACAACTCAGACTAGATTATTAGATTATCCATCTTTTATCTTTATCGCTAAGATTTAGTGGTGACTGATAAAATGAAGATTTTCGTGCACCTAGGAGTGGCACACACTGGTCAGACTGAGCTAATAGAAGGCATGCCAGGTAATCTCAGACACCGAACATCTCTAGTTAACGTCCACCTTCTGATTATGCAGACAGCTAAAATCCTTCATCACAGTTAAGACGTTATAGTAAAATAATTTTGCATTGGTTGGCCTAATTACCTGGATTTTTAACTCTACTCCAGTGAGAAGACAACAATGGATTTCTATTATACAGCATTAACTATGCATGCAGCCTTGAACCTGGCAGCGCCACCTGCTTTGCTCGCACATTTAGTCAGTCTCTCGCCCCTGGGATGGAGCGGCAGTGTGACTGACTCTTCATAACGGGAAGGCAGAGGGCTGGCCACTGATAAGCCCACTGTGCTTCTGTAGCAACCTGTGCCACAATGAAACCCACTATGTGTCATCAGCAAACGAATGCTAATTATTCATCTATAAAAAAGGAACACAATCTAGAGACAGACCTAGATCACCTCTGGGATGTCAGACAAAACATGAGGTTTATCTCAATCCTTCCCAGAGTCACGCAAACTTACAGAATATCCCACGACAACCACACTGTTGAAAAGTGTCCCCAGCCCAGCTTCCGGATCACATGGTATCTCCCGTTAAACAGATCTCCAATTTTCACAAGGTGATAACCTCCTGAAAGAAAGGGGGGGGGGTTTAGCAGAGGAACCCTCATACCTTGCATCCTGTCAGCACCACGTACCATTTACTGAAGTCTACCATGATCCAACTATGAGACTCTTCAGTCAAACCCACCAGTGTCACTCATCTCGCTGCGAGGAAACTGACCCTGATGATCGGCATTACCTCAGCCTGTGCTCACAGTCTACAATACTGCTGGTCCCTCAAAAGGCCAAAGCTCTACTATAAAACAAACCAATCTATTATACTGGTCACCTCAAAAAGCGCACGCCTTTAATCCCCAACACTCGGGAGGCAGAGGCAGACAGATCTCTGTGAGTTCGAGACCAGCCGGGTCTACAGAGCTAGTTCCAGGACAGGCTCCAAAGCCACAGAGAAACCCTGTCTCAAACCCCCCCCCCAAAAAAAA